GACCGAGTCAGGGATCACAGGACCCTCTGAGCCAGCCGGGCGTCCTTCCTTGGCATCGAAGATGGATTCACATCCCCAGCTGTGGGAAAGATAAGTGGAGGGCTCCCATCTGGAGAGGGGATGAGAGCTGGGTCCAGTTTTATGGTTAGGAGGGAGGGATTTCAAATGAGCAGAGGGGAAAGGGTCTGCCCTAAGAGGCCCTTGGCACACATAGGAGGAGCAGTTTACTTTTCATCATGGAGTAGGATGTGCAGGGCAGAGCCATTCAGGTCTGTGTCGTGTCCTTTGTCCAGTCTGTGTTTTGTGTCTTCCTATTCACAGTCACCACATATTTGCTTTCTGCCCTCAAAGGTCTTATCTGAGATACCAAGGCATCATTCCTAGGGTCTTGAACCTCTGCACTGCCCAGCCCAGTGCCCATACCATCCATTCTTTGGCTTACTAGCTTGGACGTGCATCGGAATCGCATCTGAGAAGTGTCAGGTCAGGTGTCTTTTACAGCCTCCTTACAGGTTGTATCAGTAGCTGTGCTGTGCAGTCATCTCTTGTCATCCCGCCCGGGACTTGTGAGAATCTAAGAAGATTCTGAACATAGCCTTGTCTCCCATCCATCTTAGCAATTTTGTAGGCAGTTCTTGTCCCAGGCCATTCTGTTAGGGTCTCTTTTCAGGCTCCTCAGAGCCTCCTCCATTCAGTCTCGCCGTATCCTCCGTCTTCTCGTGCGGCAGCACATCCATTTTGGCGTCATTCCTTTCTCAGAGTTCTCTCTCCTGGTTGCACCACAGCACTTGTCTGGAAATGTGTCCTTGGAGTTTGTGTTGGGCCTGGAACTGCTCTGCCCTGCAGTGTAGACTTGGGGGTAGGTGGAGTAGAAAGGAGACTTTCTGGTTAACCTGTGGATAGGCACAGCCACTGAGGGGAGGGTCTTAAAGTTAGGGCAGTGTTTGTTTGTGCAGGTTGTCTTTGGACCCCAGAGGACTTGTCTAAGGAGAAATTAGAATTGCACAGCAGTTCAGGTCCCCCTGTCTATGTGGCTGACTTTGGTAACTCATTTCTTTGCAGTGTCAGAGGGACTGGATGTAAAGCAGAGAAGAACAGAAGAGGCTGGAGGAGCAGAGTCAGAAGGTGGGTTCTCATGTAAGGTCAGAGCCAAGACATGACTTTTGGCCTGAGGTTTACTTGATCATTTGGATGGTTTGGTGGTTTAGTTTTGTTTTTTTTGGTTTGTTTTAAGATGCAGAGCCCTCGACCCAGCAGAGAATAGGCACCAGAGGGAAGGTGAGCCCGGTGAGGAAGGTGAGCAGGGACTGCAGGACAAAACTAGCTGCTCTTTTGCAGGCGGTGTACTTGTGGTGGATCTGTGTACATACTTGTTTTTTTGTTTTCCAGGCAGTGCACCGACTTCTAACATGCAGTCCAACGTGATGGGGACCCTGCCTGTAAGAGGTCACAGTCAAGGGGTGTCAGACAGAAACTGCCATGGGGGCAGCAAACTCTTGGGCAGTATCTCAGTACTCACATTTGCCTCTGGTTTTTTTTTGCAGGAGATGTAGACAGCCTGACAGGGCCGAAGCCAACTCACAATGAGGAGATGGACACGGTTTGGTCCCCTGGAGCTGTCCTTGTAGGTAATCTCTGAGTATTAAAAGGATCAGCAATGAAGGATTAAGCTTTTTGATTGCAGGTGCCATCGAGGTAATCTTTGGGAGCAGATGAGCATTGGAGGTGAGTCAGGGAGGCAGCAGGAGGAGCGGGGATCCACTGCAGCTTTAGAGATGCCATCTAATTTTGTCTCTCACTCACTCAGGTAACCCAGAAGATGACAGCACATTGTCCGACTCGAGTCAGAGCCAGCGACCCGAGGCCCTGCCTCGGTGAGAGTGAGTAGAGGG